ATCTATCTATCTATCTATCTATCTATCTATCCATCCATCCATCCATCCATCCATCCATCCATCCATCCATCCATCATCTATATATATTATTTATATTTCATATTTATAAATTGCCCATCTCCCTCAGAGAGGGACTCTGAGTGGTTAATACAAGAATGTGAGTTTTTGGAGGAGTACAGTAGATATTTTAAATTGGAGGGTTTCATTTTCCAAAACTATAGAAAATGGTTTTTATATGATTGCAAATTTGCATGTATGTCATTTTGCAGTCTCATCTTCACTGAGTTGAATCTAATGTTGAGATTTCCATTCTTATTTAGAGGCAACCTGTTAATTCATAATGTAATGGTTTGCATGTCTCAATGTGCAGTATGTAAACTGTGAAGTGCTGATACTGGTTTCCTCACCATTAGGTCAATGCCTTTCACCAAGGATCTGGTTATCAGTGGCTGGGCAATATTGTTACCATCAGTTTAGCTTTCCTTCCTTTCCTCTATCGACTCTTCCACTCAAAGACCTTTGAGCAGATGTGGGCCTTGAGTGCAAAAGAAGTTCTGCATATCTTTTGTGGGGGTCCCCCATTCCCCCCTATAATCACCCTTGCAATGATCATTTTTCTGGAGCGCCTCTGCCTCACCTGGATGTTTTTCTTCATGATGTGTGTTGCTGAGAGGACTTACAAGCAGGTTAGTCTTAGTTGTCCCAAAAAAATAAAACAACCATGACTGCCAATGAAAGCACTACTCTCTGTCGCCGTCTCTTGCTTTTGCCACATGATTGGATTGTGGCAAAATGAATATATTGTCATTATATTGGATGTTTCCCTATGACAAACAAGCATCAGTTTCCCTTCTTATAATGCCATTCCTATTCTAGAGAAATATGTATCATTAAAATGTTCTGCAAAGCTTTTGAAAGGTAGCAGTCAGAAAAGATCTGTCTGTAATTTTCAAATTATATAATTTGCTCTGATTGACACTTTTCTTTGCAGAGGTTTCTGGTTGCCAAACTTTTTAGTCACATTACTTCTGCTCGGAAAGCAAGAAAATATGAAATCCCACATTTCAGACTCAAGAAAGTAGAAAACATTAAAATCTGGTTATCACTTCGTTCCTACTTAAAGGTAAGTGGTACAAAAGCACTGAAATCTCAGCCTTAAACAAAAGATTCAGATTGTAGAGCCATTGCTACAGAATTAAACTGTGAAGAATTTTTGCTCTTTATATGCATTGCTTCATTACTTCAATTTTATATGTTTGTTTTGCCAGAGGCGAGGCCCTCAAAGATCTGTTGACGTAGTTGTATCGTCCATATTCTTACTGGCTCTTTCCATTGCTTTCATATGCTGTGCACAGGTAAGATCTCTAATTTTTAATTTTTAGAGAAAATGTTGACCATCAATAACACATAAAATAGGATGGATTTATATTAAGTTGAGGGAGATGTTTGAGAGTCTCCAATGATTTTATGATACTTTGCACACTTGTTAGCCTCCTTTTTTGGTATGTATGTATGTACCCTGTTTCCCCAAAAATATTTAAACACA